TGACGCGCACAGAAAAAACAACAAAACACTACAAAATACATTAAATATATATAATAATCCATCATACATTATACATGATCCTGAATACATAATGCTACATAAAAATTAAAAAAAAACACACTCTTGAGGAGGCCGTCGCCCGGGGCTCCTGTCCTTAAAAATTCAAAAGTTCCTCCGTGAGCTGTCGCTCCTCCTCCGGGCTCAGCGCTGGTGCGGAGGGTGCCGCCTCCCCACTCACCCCGTCCATCGCCACGTCCACTGGCATCTTGAACAGGCTGCCGTCCAAGATGGCGGCCGCGAACTCCGGCCGTCGCGCCATATACGACAGGACGGCGTCCACGGCGCCTGGCTGGTCGAGGGCGGCGTGCAGGTCAGGCGGGGCAGGCGGGGGGACCACCTCGGGCGCCCGGACCCGGCTCCGATGGATCTTGCTGTCGTCGTGGACCTCGTTGATGCGTAGGACCCCGCAGCCCTCACAGTACACTGCCGCGGGGTCCGGCGTCATGAAGGCGCCCTGGGCCTCGCGGTCCGCGTCCTGGATCGTGCGGCCCCGAAAGAGCGGGGGCAGCTTGTCGGCCGGGACCCCCCGTCTGGGCCGCCGCTGTTCCGGCCATCCCCGCCAGGAGACGAAGCCGTGTGGCGGCCCGGTCCCCTGCTGCCACGTCCATGTTGCGACGTGGCGGGTCGATTTGGTGGTGGGGAGAGGGCCCGCCCCAGCCCCGGGAGACGGGGTGTCCAAGGGTGATTGTGATGGTGTCCCCGAGGCGGCCCTGGAGGAAGCCGCCGACCGGGGTTCACGTGTGTCTGCGGACGACCGGCGCCGGGCGGTGCCATGGGGGGAGGGAGCCGCTGACCTGGGTCGCCCCCGGACCCCGTTGCGACCGCTGGACTCCACGGACGGGTGGCGCTGGGCTGCGCCGTGGGGGGAGGGAGCCGCTGTCCGGGGCTGCTCCCGGACCCCGTAGCCGCCGTTTTGGCGGGAATCAGGGCCACGGACGTAGGGGCGCCGCCTCCAGGTGGGTCGCCATTGCCCCCTCCACGAAGGCGAGGCCGTCGATGTTTGTGGCCCCCGTCCGGCACCGTCCCCAAGTTGACGTTGTCGCTGCATGGCTTCTGAGTTTACTGGATCCCGGCCCGCACACTTGTCGCGCGTCAAAATGTCTCTCCATCCTCCCTCGCCCTCGTATCCCTACACGAGAGGGAAGAAGGGAAGGAAACCCCCGGGACGGACTTTCGGAGCATCTCCCCGCATACACAAGGAAACTCCGCTTGGTCCCCCGTCATCCGCGTGGAGGGGGATGGGGGTGGAAAACACGACTTCGAAACGGGGCTTGGGGAAAAGTCAGTGGGCCAACCCCTCGCCGAAAGTCGTAAAATCTCTCGGAGGCGCTGCTTCTCAAGGATCGCTTTGGCGGGACCGGGAGAAGGGCGTCATGCTCCTGGCCGACAGAAAACATTGCCACCGAGGGGTGACACGTTTCCGAGAACAGGCTTGTTAGCGGGGTTGCCAATAGCTGAACTCGGGCAGCCTGCGTACATTAACCGGCCCAACCGCAGAGCGGGAGGTTTCAGTTGGAATGCAGACCACGCAGTGCCCTTAACAGGATATGGCACTCTGCGTACGCAAACTGAACTCGGCGGCAGAGGATGCGGCAACCTACCGAGGCAAGCAGGGGTTGCCCGGTTGCTAGGATTTTTCTAGCCGTCCTTTTCGATGACTCCGCAACGTGTAGCGGGGTGCCGACACTTGGCCGTTGACCCCGCCTCGTCGCGAGTGCGTCTGCTGCCGCGAGAAACAATGGTCCTCGGTCGACTCGTCCTCCCTCATTGTGTAAGGTTTGAGGTCGCAGACGTGTACCGGTCCACCCACGTCCCTAGATTGTAGGTCCGTTAGCTTATAGACCAGGCGGGAGCATGTATTTTTGACTCGGAACGGGCCCGACCACTTTGGCGCCAGCGCGGCCGAAAAGGCCTTGCTTGCATCGCTAAGCACGTGCGTGCGCCTAAGCACGAGGTCGCCCGCCTGATAGCGGACATCTCTGTGCGTGCGGTCATACTGGGCCTTTTGGCTAGCCTGCGCAGCTTCCAGATTTCGGCGGGCTTCGGAAAAGATATCCGTTAACCGAAACTGTAGCTGCCGGGCGTAGTCAGCATAGGCTGGCCGCGCGTCGTTCACCCCGCCGTTGGCTGCCAGAACCCGGTCCATGGGATTCATGAGCTCATGCCCAAATGTGAGCAGGGCAGGGGTGAATCCCGTCGATCGGTTGACCGTGGATCGGAGGGCAAACCCAATCTCAGGGAGATAAGTGTCCCAATCCTTGTGCCGCTTCGCATAAGCTGCAAGCATAGGTTTGAGATTGCGGTTCACGCGTTCGGTCACATTCGACTGGGGGTGGTACGTCGTGGTCCTATTGTGCTTAATGCCGAGGGCCGCACAGGTGTCCACGAATACCTTCGACGTAAAGACGCTGGCATTGTCCGTTATCAAAGCCTGAGGGTACCCAAAGCGCGAGAACACCTCCATTAGCTTATCTAGGATCACTCGAGCCGTCAGCGTTCGGAGGGGAAATAGTTCGACCCATTTGCTGAAGTGATCAGTGACAACCAGCAGGTACTGATGACCCTTCGGGCTCCTTGGAAAGGGGCCGACGATGTCGCACGCCGCGAGAGACCAGGCGTGCTGACTCTTGATGGGCTGCAACAAGCCGGGGACTTTGCCGCCTCGCGGTTTGAGGCTTTGGCACAGGTGGCATGACCGGGCGTATCTCAGTACGTCGCTTTTCATGTTGGGCCAGGTGGCGAAGTGACACAACTTATGATAAGTCTTGGGGCCACTCGCGTGTCCGGCCGTTGGCGTGTCGTGATAAAAGCGCAAAAGCGCGCCTCTCAGCCCTCGGGGTACCACCACCTTGAACGGATCACAGGTGTCATTCTCAGATGGTATGTACCGCAAAAGAAGCCCGTCGGCGTCCAGCAAGAACGAATCCAATGCGCCAACCACATTACCAGTGGCTTCCCGACGCTGGGCGTTTCCAGCAATACCAGCTGATCGCCCCGCGGCCGCGCCGCCCGACTCCGACGAGTCGCGCTCTCCCAGGAGCCCGTCGATTACTTCTCGACAAAATGGATCGTTCTGCTGAGCTTCTCGTAGCTCTTGTTTGCTAAAGGGGATCCCCACGCCTCCAAAAGAGTCGACATGGTTCACGGTTCCGTCAGAGAGCCCCGGGGGTGCCGGTGTCTCGTCGGACTGGGCTGTGCGTGGCTCGGACGCAATCACACATTTCGGGCGAGTTTCTGACGTGGAGGGGTCAGCAAACGCAATGGGGGCCCGAGACAAGGCGTCGGCCACAACGTTCGTGCTTCCCTTTTTGTAGCGCACCTCATAGTCGTAGCGCTGCAACGTCAAAGCCCATCTCGCCAGGCGACCGGCCGGCTCTCGGAGGCGTGTGAGCCATTTCAGAGCGGCGTGGTCGGTCTCAATGATAAAAGTCGTCCCGTCAACGAACATGTCGAACTTACGGAGCGCGAACACCATGGCAAGGCACTCCCGTTCGGTCACGCTGTATCGGGTTTCGGCGGGCGTCAATGATCGGCTGGCAAAGGCGACCGGTCGGAGCGCGCCTTGGTGCTCCTGGAGCAAAACCGCACCGAGTCCCCGGTCACTCGCGTCGGTTTGTATCACGAATGGCCGGTTCAAGTCGGGCAGCTTGAGGTTGGCGGTGGACACGAGAGCATCAGCGAGGCTTCGGAAAGCGGCCTCCTGCTCGGGGCCCCAGTTCCACTTCGCCGACTTCCTCAACAAACGGGTTAAGGGGGCCTGGACAGCCGCGCAACCAGGGATAAACTGACGATAAAAGTTTATCATTCCGAGGTAGCGGCGCAGAGAGCTAACGTCCGTCGGCGCCGGATACTCCAGGATAGCCTGGAGTTTTTCAGGGCACGGAGAGACGCCGCTGCGATCGATCGTGAAACCCAGCAAAGAGATACGGGTCTCGGCGACTTGGGCCTTTTTCGGATTCAGGGTCATTCCGGCGGCCCTTAGTCTCCCAAGAACATCCTCCAAATGACGCAGGTGATCTTCGAAGGTGTCCGAGTACACGACAATGTCATCGAGGTACGCCATGGCATAGGACCATCTGGCTTCCCCGAGAACACGGTCCATGAGTCGTTGGAACGTCATTGGCGCTCCTGTAAGCCCGAACGGCATGCGCGTGAACTCAAAAAGTCCACGGTGACAGACGAAGGCTGTCTTTTCTGCATCGTCGGGTTCGACTTGGACCTGTAGGTAGCCTCTGCTGGCGTCGAGCGTCGTAAAGAACTTTGCTCCGCCGAGGTTCGAGATGATGGAGTCGATGCTTTGGAACGGATAGGCGTCCTTGCGCGTGAGTTCATTCAGTTTGCGGTAGTCAACGCAGAGGCGGGAGCTTCCGTCTTTCTTTGGGACAAGCACGACCGGAAAACCCCATGGGCTCTCTGAACGCCGGATAACGCCGGTGTCGGTCAATTCATCCAGGGCGGCGTCGATGGCCTTTCGTTTAGCCAAACTAACCGGACGAGGATTGCACCGCCAGGGGCGAGCGTCCCCTGTGTCGATCCGATGCCGCACTGAGTCGGCGCAGCCGGGTCTGTCCGTGAACATCGAGTCATAAGAGTATAACAACGATGAAAGGCGCGCCCTGTCGCGACCCGCAACACCGCAGGAGGGTGTCAGCAGTGGGTGCGAAGCATTCTCGGCCGCGCCGGCGGCACGCGCCGGGCGTGCGGACGCGAAGCCCAAAACCGGTTTATTAGAAACAGTCTCTCCCGCGCAACCAGGGTTGCTTGCGGCGCTCGTTGGCATGGGGGCCGTTGAGGTGGCCGGGGGCTCGCAGAAGGGTTTCACTGGACCAAAAGGGCCCTCACGGTAACCTCCGTTAGCGACGTCAATCACCATCCCCGTTCGAGCAAGGAAGTCTCGCCCCAGAATCACCGGTACAGACAGGCCGGGGAGGTGGACGAAACGGTGGCGTCTCACTCGTTGGTCCCATCGCACGATCAGCCTTACGGCGCCGCTCGATTGGGCGGTGCCGCCTGCGGCCAGTCGAAAGGACGTGTTGCATTCCCTTAGCCGCACGGAGTGCGCCTGCAGGTGTGCCAGTACGTCTTCGCCGAACAACGATGCGCTCGCCCCCGAGTCGAGGAGAGCTGCAAACGTCCGGCCGGCGATGGTGAGAGCCATGAACGGGGCAGGCGCATTGGGCGAACAGTCCACCCGATACGCGGACGGAGCGAGGGCGATCAAGGGGGCCCCCGCGTTCCGTCGCGCCGCCGGCCTCGTCAGCGGCGGCCGGATCCGTTTCCCGAAGCTTGTTGAGGCGCGGGCCGCTGGTCGGTACATTCTCGGGCAAAATGGCCGGGACGACCGCAGCGGTAACACTGGATGTTCCAACCGCGGGACGGGTTCCGTCGCAAGTTCCTTGGCGGGTTGGGGCGCTCATTCTGGGCATCAAGGTGCCCGGTCTGCGCCCATCTGCGCGGCCTCGGGTCCGCGGGGCGGTCCCGATAACGCTGGTTCGCCTGCGCCTCTGTGGAGCATCTTCGCAAGCCAAAGGTGTAGGGGTCGAGAGCACGGTTGGAGATGTCCCTCGTGTCCGTTCCCCGCGGGTCGGCATAGGCCGCGCACACCTCGGGCCGGCGAGAGCGAGATCCGCTGTTTCCATTCCACGCGCAGCGCGGCTCTAGGGACTCCGACGGCGGGGGCGGAGGCCGATAGGCGCGAGCTGCGAGGATATCGCCCTGGACGCGGCGGGCTTCGGCGGCAAGCTCGTCCAGAGAGCTGAACCTGCCGCCTCGTAAGTAGGCGGCGAACGTCGGGTGCGCCTGCCTGATTACCCGCTCCACTCTCTCGGCGTTCGGGGCGGCAGGGTCAGCTATTAGAAATAGCTCCTGCATTGCCCTGACATACTCGAGAAGCGATTCGTCCGGGTGCTGGGTCCGTCGCTCCAACTCTCGTCGCATCCTCCGCTCATAATCCGCGGGGAGGAATTCCTGGCGAAAAGACACCCGGAACTCGTAGAGAGTGAGCGCATGCTGGCCGGCAAGGCGAAACCAGCGGGCTGCCTGATCGGTGAGAGCGACCGGCAGAATGCGGCCCAGAATTTCCTGGTCAGACATCCCCATGGCCTGCTGGTAGTGAAGCAGATCCTCCAGGAAGTCCGTTGCGCTGACCGCGTCGTCGTACCCCTTATACTTGGGTATGGGGATTCGGACCGGTGTTCGCGCGGCTCGCGGTCCTGACAAAACGGACTGCATGGCTCCGGACAGGCTCTCAATGATTCGTGATGCATCTTGCAAAATCGCGTCATGAGAGCTCTGCTGTCCATTTCCCGAGCAGACTGGTGTGGGCACGTGCAGCGCTGGGGACTCGTCTCGCAAAAGGGAGACTCCCGAAACGCCGTTCGGCAAGCGATCGGCTCCGTCTGGGGGCAAGTCAATGAGATTGCCGACCGCGGTGGCCCCAACAGAAGCTGCGTCGACATCGCGCGCGAGAAGGCTCCCCCTCGAGGGGGGGAGGAGGCCATCGCGAGGAGTGCCGAGCCTTTCTGTCGCCGTGTCAGGCCGGGGGAGTAAATGAGCGGCGTGACCGTAGGGCGGTCCGCTCAACTCGCCTGTGGGGTCTCTCTGAGGCGGGTGATGCACGTCGATAAACGGCCAGGCGGGTGGGCTCTCTCGCAAAGGGGAGGCCAACGTAGCGCGATCGTGCAGGAGACCGGCTCGTACGGACACCGAGTCTCGCTGGGGCACTGGGGCAGCGCTGCGACCACCGAGTGATCCGCTCACGTCACCGGCGGCGTATCCCTCAGGTGGGGGAACTGTGCCGGGCATCGGCTCCGCCTGAATAGGTCCTCTCGAGGGAGATGTTGTCAGGGGGCCTTCGGCTGAGGCGGGAACTTCTGGATAGAGTCCGCTAGCCGAGATCGGCGAAAGCCGCTGGCCTCCGAGGGGAACAGTGGCCTGGGTGATGCGTGGTGAGCGCGGGGCAGGAAGAGGCTGCCCTCGCGTAGCCACATCAGCCAACGTGTTTAGAGGACCGAAGTCGGGTCGTCCCGTTGACATGGCGTGACAAGACAGGAGCGGCCGATACGTCTATGCTAAACCACGACAGCAATTGGTGTCGTGGCCCCACGTTGGGCGCCAAAATGTGGAGGTCTCAAAGGGGTAGCGCCTTCCGGCAGGGAGGCCGACCGCTCAACCTACCACCCCGCAGCGTATCATGCTAAGCGCTGCGGCGGGTTCGACTGTCGGCTACAACCGTTAGCCGGGACTCTCAAAAGGGAGCACACGGACACGCCGAAGGCAAGGGATAATCGGGTGTTTATTTTACGTGTTAAACATATAAAGATAAGAAAACACGCTAAGGGCGACAAGGAAGGAACAGACCTTACCTTGTCGTGCCTTCCCGAGAGCGGGCTCGGAGGTGGGCCGTCAGGGAGGGTCGGGCCACACGTCCGAACAGTTCGATGTCCCCGCGAGCAGTCCCCTCGAGCCGGGGTACAAGGCCCCCCTTCTCTCTTTCTCCCTCTCCGCTGGCGGCCTCAGCCTCGGACCCAAGAAGGTCCAACCGCCAGGGGGACGTTTCGCGTGTCCCCGCAAGGTGGGGGGGCACGGGGGATGGAGGCATGCGAAGCGAGGGTAAGCAGCCAAGATGGCTGCTCCTCCGAGGCACGAGACGGGGCGCTCCGGCTGACGGTTGGACAGCTCGGAGCGCTGTTCCCGCGGCCATAGGGCCTAATCAGGGAAGTGGAGCGGGCGGCTCCCACAAGCTCCATCCTGCTGTTTCGCCGACATCGACGCCTGCGACGCTAGTCTTTCTCTATTTTGTTTTGGGCACAAGTTTGCCCCATTTAACGTTTAGTTTCTCCAGTTATTTGCCGCCTCATCATTTTTCATTCGTGACAATATCCTGCTCCTTATAATATGACTGCATAAAATAACCGTACGATGTTCTTTTTTTTTTTTGCCGTTTTGTGTTGTTGCGTGCTAATAAACCATTATGGTAAACCAGATTTGCGCAGCTGTATATTTTTCGTTGTCAATGACGTCGATTCAAATTAAGCAATGCGGAAGTATCTTCAAAAGTAAATAATTGCATTTCTAAGTATTTGTACTCTACTCAAGATACTTTACAGTGAAAGTAATTTGAGTAGTACTTTAGATACTTTATGAAGCAGGTATTTGGTAACTTATCTTAAATACTTTTATTGAGTATTTTGTCCAACACTGCTCGCACATCGATATCTCAAACGGATGGCCGTACTTTTGGAAAAGAAGAGCGCGATCAAGCGAGGTCTTTCACGTCATTGTCCTCCGGGAGAATTTGAGAATGACGGGAAGCGGCCTCGGTTCTCTCCTCCTAGCTTCAGTTCACCAGCTCGACGGGACGTAGCGAGGAGGAGAGGGAATGGGAATCGTGACGCCGCATGCCTCGTTGGCCGTATTCAATCGCGCACTTATTTTCCAAAATACGACTATCCGTTCGAGATATCATTGTATGAGTGATGTTTTTGGGTTTTACAGCGTCCCGCCTATCCGTCCAGCCTTGTTTTGTGAGCTCGAAATTTCGGTTCAGTATCCCTTTAATCCTAGACTGGGGCAGAACGAGGACGATTTTTTTTAGTGGAAGAAAAAGCAACAGGGAAGGACAACGTCTGTCCCTCTTACATGGCCGATCGCAACCCCAGGTTTTCTTTTTTGATTTTGCTCCGTGAGCAAATTTTGAAATTTGGAAATGAGGAACCATACTCGAAAATTAATCTAGTGACTAACTCTAGTGATATCGTATTGGATAGTGAATGTGCGAATATTTTAAATAGTGTGCTTTCTGATGCTTTCTTCGTTTCAGAACCCATTAGTGGAATTCCTCCTGTTACAAAAATTATTTTCTAACGCATTCAATCGTTATAGACTTTCAAGGTGTTATCAGCATTATAGAATCATTATAGAATCCCTCAAAATATCTTCATCGTGTGGCATAGATGATATCAATAGGAAACTTCTCACTAACAATGAAGTTTCATACAGTCTTTACCTCACAAAAAAATTTCAGCCATCCCTGGACACAGGGTTGATACCCTCTGACTGGAAAATGGTAAGGTCATTCTGATCCAGAAATCCGGAAGTAAGACATCTCCACTAAATTATCGATCAATATCACTCACCTGCATCTCATGCAAGATCCTCGAGCACGTCATCTACAAGCACCTGATTAATTTCCTAGATTCTTTCAATTTCTTAACAAATGCGCAGCATATCTTCCGGAAACAAATTTCTTGTGAGACCCGACTAATTATTTTAACTAACGACTTGTTAAAAAGTCTTGACACCGGCTTTCCTATACTGACGCTGTTTGTCTTGATTTCGCCAAATCTTTTAATAAAGTTCCATACAATCACCTTCTTTTAAAAAATTCGTCACTAAAACAAGATCCTTATGTTTTTAGGTGGATTGAATCCTTCCTTAGTCTCCCGTTTCTTCCGGTGTTCCACAGGGAACTGTACTTGGGCCTTTATTGATCTCCCTCTTCACTTATTTGTCCTCTCTTCGTCTTTTCGCTGATGACTGTGGTGTTTATAGACTAATAAAAACTTTAGACGACCATTTTGTACTTCAGAAGGACATTAACAAAGTTACTGATTGGTGCCGCACATGGCAGATGTGTCTAAACATTAGCAAATGCATGCACCTCTTCTTCACAGGTTCTTCCTCTCAACCCTTAAACTCATTAACACTCAACGGCGCTACCATTCAGACTTCTACACAGTACAATTATCTTGGTGTTAATTTAAGTTACTTAGTATTGGTGGTTTACTGGCGCAAAAGCGACGAAGGCCATACTGCGCCAAACAGATGTAATAATGTTGCTCAGAGTAATAGTCTTGGAAGGCTCACTGTGAAATCAGCTTTGCAACAAAAGTTTTGTTAGTGATGGAAGATGAAAAAAGGAATATAGAAGCTAAAATCGACGTAAAAAAACACTTTTTTCTAAGTATTAAATGACACGATTAAAGGGAATGATGGGATGCTCACCCACTAAGAGTGCAAGATGGAAAGGAATATTTTATGCGAAAAATTTCGAGAAGCAAGCACGTCGGTTCTTTTCAAGACCTGAACAGAGCCATAGAATATGAAGCACCGTTAGTGATTCGCCACAGTGATCACAGACTGGAGCATCCCCTCCACAAAGGAGATGCCCATGTGTCAAGAAGCTGTGTCCGATTCTAAGGCGGCAGTGGAGTACTTCTATGAAGCGATTCTCGTGAGATGCACTCTCCCACAATCCGAAACCCGATTTTACCACATGGAGCTTGTTTTCACGTTCTTGGTCCCATTCCAACTGCCACGTTTGGAGGAGTGTTTTTTTAATGAGGGGCTTCACATCTTGATAGGGTAGGCCAGTAGAGGTCACCATGAGATTTTTTTTGGAGGTAGCCTACTGGTCTGCTTTTTCATTGCCCAAAAGTCCAACATGACTGGGGACCCAGCGAAACTTTATATCGTGGCCATAAACTAAGGAACTATTGGTTTTAAATCGCACTAATTGGGCTAGCTTATTTTTGGTATCTTTTACTGAGCAGAGTGCTGAAACAACACTCTGTGAGTCCACAAAGAGAACAGCTTTCATAGTTTTGCTTGCCATAATGTGTTCAATAGCCATCAATACTCCATAGAGCTCTGCGGTGAAAATACTAGCCATGCTTTCGAGCCGTTGGGCCTTTGTAAATTCTTCAGAGTAAACGGCAGCTCCTACGGAGGAGGAGTTCTTGGATCCATCAGTATAAAA